GGGGAGATAGGTGAAATCACCAAGTTCTAACAATATGTCAGATGAGGCCTAACTGTCCCTTCACATAACTAAGAAGTAAACCTTCCAGCATGTACCACAATTTCCATGCATGGAGAAAAAAAAAATTGCTATCAGACCTCTCAGCCATCAATTAAGTTGCAGGCTCAAAATCAACTGGGAATAAGCCCAAAACATCACACACTCGAAGAACCAACAAAAGAAAAACAAATCAAAGGCAGCTTATCCCAAAGTGGTCTCCTTTTTGTTATTCATAGGTCATTTAAAGACTTAAAATAAGTTGTTTTGTTAGAGCAAAGCAACTGTGGGCATCTGCCACATCCACCATAGGCAATTGAGCCCTGGCACGGCAAGTCCACAAACTTACCACTGACTCAAAGCCAGATGACCACCACAGATCCAAATATATGTCTCCATCTCACTACGAACAAGATCACTGACAGTCTCAACCAAGAGTGACCCCCACCCCCAGACTGTTGTGCGACACTAGATATCAGAGGTTGGAGAAGAGAGACCCAATTGGTTTCTGTGCTGGGAATTCATATTATAATCGGCTTGCTAATCAGAAGAAAGAAAAAATTGATTTTGAATTATTATTATTGTTACAAAATCAACTAGACAAAATAATAACATTCAAAGTATCTCTGAAAGATCATAATACTGGGAAATCCATTTGTGGCGCTTTGTCAAGAAAAAGTGATAAAATTATCTGAATGAGGTATCAGTATAGAGGGCGCATCAACATAGGTGAAAAGTATCACGAGACAAATATCGCCAAGGGCAACTGAGTGGGGTATAAAAGACTGAAGCAAGTGAGAAAAAAATCAGACTAATGCTTAGATGGCCAAAGAAGAAACCCTGGCGGTCGAGTAATAGCTGTAAGTGTCAGCAGAGGTAAGTATGTTTCGGAAGACATGTGTCTGTTATAGTAGTCTGCAATTTACTCTTTCATCATACCCACACACACACATACACACATGTAACACAAACTCAAATTTAAGACCCTTGTAGCTTGGTGCCACTTCCTTGCCATTTCAAAACTTCCATAAGCTATCAAAAGATCTTTAAGCTTGGATCCACAAAATTCTTGTTTATTTAGTACCACTAACACAAACTTAGAAAATTGAGTTACATTTATTCTTTTATAAAGAAAAAAACTAATATTAATTCAAAGTGTTTTATTTTTCTTCACCTATATTTAGCTTCTTCCACTGACTTAAAAATTACATTTAGTGAAAAGAAAGCTTCAAGAAAAGAAAATATTTTAAATAGAAGTATGCTATCTTAAAATTTAATGTACGATTTTCCAAATTCACAAGCAAACAGTTTTATGGGTATATGTGTGTGTGTGTGTGTGTGCCAGTATTCATGTATTTTACTTGTTCCTGTATTTCTAGAGTACATTTTAAAATCTGACCAAGAGAAGGGGTTTATATTATTTTGGTAGTTTTTTCCACTATCTTGGTCCGAATAGTAAATACTGCTTATGTTTAAAATGATTTTATTGTTTCAGTAGTAATGTTTGTTAACTTTGGAAAACTACTGTATCAATAACCACCAAATCATAAGTATGATATAACTGTTATAGCGTGTATGCCTTTTACAAACCAGCAAAAAATAATTACAATTTTACTTGTCACAAGACATTAATATTAGGCTCATTTCATCTTCAAACACTACATCCTTAATCTAGTCACGTAGAGCAGTGTATCTCTTTGAAACAATGTTATAGGACATCAAAAGTATAATGCAAACTAAATAATACCTCACAAAATGCTAACTACAAATTAATGTCATGCATATGAATCCAGCATAGCAACTATGAAACAACACTGCCATACATGTCATACTTCAATAATTTACTTCAGTGTGTTACAGGAAACGTCTTGAAGTTTAGGTAGGCCATGTTACTAAAAAGGTTGAGAAATGTTGCCTTAGGAATTTTCAAGAATTAGAAGGGTGTATACTGATAGCATTCCAACAACATTATATTTGTCATACCAACTGCCAACAATGAATTTTGTTCAATCCAGAGCTCTTCAGACCAGCTGGAATAAAACAAACACTATTTGAAGAGCACTGCTGTGCTTGTTGTATCCCAGCTAGCTTGAAGAGTTCTGAATTGAGCTAAACACATTCTCAGCAATGGATATGATAAATATAGTATGGTTGGAAAACTATTATTATACACTCTCTTTAAATCTTGAAAATCCCTAAGGGACTAGATTAAGAATGCAGTGTTTAAAAATGATTTGAAATAGGCCTAATACTAATGTCTTGTGACAAGTAAAAAAAGTATGATAAGCACGAATGTAATGTATGTGTTTACTGCAAACAGTATTATAAGACAGATTAAGAAGACAGAAGTACTACATGATGTACAGTGAAGTACTATATATTCACTATCCCACCTAACACAAAAATGAAAAATGAACACAATTCAACAGAATCTGAGTAAGGGGTCATTCGCAATTATCAATATTTTCACAAGTGTACAAATGGTATACTTTTTGCATACTCCTCCCTTTCCCCCAAACAAAGAAAATGTTGATGTTTCACCACCTTTCTTTTATCATAAGACTATGCACAATCCATAAATTTTGCTATTCCTGCTGTTGTTTGCCATTGTTATCAGGAAGGGCACTGTGTGCATAGCGAGAAGTGCGGGAACTACACGAGCACCACCAGGAGAGAAATTTGCACAAAAATTTAAATAGACATTTTAGAATTTTCAAAAGTGTCATGTGAATATACTATTGTCCTATTTGTGGAGAAGTGATACATGACGATTTGCATAAGACATACATTGGAATGATTTGATTCCAACAGGGGGGTGTGGAAGGCTTGTGGCATGCATAACAAAAAAAAGTTCACATATAGAGGGCAGCAATAAACAAGAACAGTTAACCTTGCAAGTGGAGGGAAGTATCGTATCAGAAGCTAATTGGATCAAGTGGAGGTTAGACACCTTTTTGTCTAATTCTCTAACAGGAATAACAATATGCTGTTTGATTATCACGCCTAGATATTCTTATCGGTAAATTGGGCAGTAGTTGTGAGTAGATTCACCCATTAACTTCATAGCCCACTGGCCAACTGATCCATCAGGCACTTATCACTGTTTCAGTGTGCCAGGGTTTATTGTCACCTTTAAAACAGTGTTGGAGCCTAAGAGAGCAGATTTTCATTGATTTGTACAAGAATTTCCATAGATTTTTATAAGGATTTTAGCAGACTTTCACTACATTCTCATGTAGTGTTCCTGTAATTTTCACTTCCACATGAGAACTCTTAAAGCTCCCCTTTTCGATTGCCAGTAACAAGTTTTTATATTTTGTAGTTTTACTTTCCAAAAACTCTTAAGTTCTCTTGTAACTTTAATTTTAACATTCACTTTCATTTGTGCAGGTACCATTTCATTTTTGCCCATAATTTAATTCAGTGTTTATGCATTTGTTTAAGTTCATCAGTAAAACTTGCTCCACAAGATAGTATGCATTGTTAATGTTGTTATTTAGAAATCTGAGTCGAGAATTAACTATTTTTATACATTTTAACTTGGGGACACACTGTTTATAATTCTATTCTAAGTTACATGGGGGAGCACCTTCACTAGCTAGAGCCTATTATTTAGTAAAATCTTTATCATCTTTACTAGTCATACATCTTATAGCTTTAATACACACACACACACACATTAATTTGCATTCTATTAAGTAAGTACTTTATTGTTTGATCTTCTGTAAACTGTCAAGATTTAAATTAAAGATTAGTTCCTTATGTAAATCTGCATGTCCTATCTCATTCTTTGTGAACCAACCATTAGGAAACACACCTGGATACGAGATCCATGAGCATTCTATTTTATGGGCCTAGACCTCTGTATTTTGCCAGAAATCCTACAGATAACACACTATTCCTTATTCTTATTTTATTTAAGGTCCTGTAGTATAACAAACAACTTGATCATTTATTGAATATTGCTAATAGTAAACTGTATTCATTACATGTGACTTTGCAGAAGTATATTTTTGCAAGTGATTTTTGAAGCTAGGCTGTGATACTTGTGAAGACATTTTCCTCACCAATATTTTTATAGTTAAAAATGGTTACTGAAGAAGAAGCTATTGATCTACCAGTTGGGATCTTTTTTATGCATTTTTAAAACTCAGTATGTAATCATTTAATTTGAGTGCACAGTTTACAAGTATGCACTTAACCAGATTAAAACTAAACTAAGACCTCAGTGCTGAGAAAGGTCATATGAAAACTAATTTTTGAGCTGCTTTTTAAAATTGGTCTTGGAAGTTATCCAAACATCAATAGAAAATCATACCTGACTCATCATTTAGATATTCTATTTGTTTGGAATTTATAAAGGTAACTTTATTTTGGCTTTAAAAAGAAAAGAGCACTAATGTAGGTATAGAACTATACAACAGAGAGAATGTAATGAAAGAAACTCATTTCTTTTCTGCAGGAAGTAACTGTAATGTATTACTCCCATTAAAGTATAATATGTGATAACACTTTATTATTGGCAAAAGTAATAACATTACAGTAAGTACTTTGAGAGACTGTTGCTTCATTTCTCTTTAGTTTAGATACATTACATGCTGTAAAAATTAGCTATTTCATTTTTTTGTAGTTATCTAAAGTACTTCAGGAGACATTTTTTTCTCTTTAATTTGGATACTTACTGTAACAATTACCTTTTGGCATTTTTTTTCTTTAGTTTAGATTCTTGCTGTAATAATTATCTTTGCTGGTTTTTCTTTAGATACTTAAGTAATAATTACATTTTGTCAGTTTTTCTCTAGTTAAGATATATAGATGTATAAATTAAATTATTTTGGAAGAACAGGATTCTATATTAGAAGCAGTTATCACATCTGATTCAGTTATTTCATATAAAGTAATATGACAAATAGTTGGAAAGTAAGGAAAATTGCAAAATGCCCAATGAAATAAACTATACTCACCTGTAGATGTGGTAAGCTATAAGAGGTATATTCAGGCACAGTGAAAACCATTCAGCAGCAAACAGGAACAATACATTGAAGGATACATGTACAAAGAATTCAACTGTCACAAGCTGAAAAAAAAAAAAATCAGCTCTTCTTATAACATCTACATAAACAAAAGTGCAAAATAACTCTATTTATCATCAAAAACACATGCAAATTAAAAAGACTGGTATATATAGATTTAAAATCATATTTTCATACACACATACATTACTGAAAAACTTTTGTTACCCTATTGATAACTCCATATCAAATTAACAAATAACTAACTAAAGGTCTATATTTTCAAAGTAACATTTCATTTTTAAACCTTAAACAGAATTTAGAATAAAATGTGTTCTGAATAAACCCATCTGTTACACGTACATCACCATGTTTAAGTTATACATATAATATATAGTGTGTGTGTGTGTGATACTCTTTCATATACCTTCGTTTCTTTGAAAATCTAAAATCAAAAAATTAATTTAACTGGAAATTTTATTGTATCCTACTTTACAGAAATGCTTTTTCAGTTTTATACAAACCATTTATCATTCTGTATCTTTCATATCTTATGCGGATATTAAGGTGCTGAAGTCAAACGATATATTAGCTTTGTGTTTAATATAACATAGGTAGATAATTACTAAATACTAAAAAACACATCTTTAAAGAAATTTATATGAGTTTGTACATATGATTTGATGCCATGGTGTTTGAATGTTAAGGCTCCACAAAATGTAGTCACAAGCAGAACAATAGGCGAGTTCCATTATATATTCCTTGGCATTCTTTCATCAAAGATTACAAAAACACTATTAGATTTGGTTTAAAAATCAAACTTTAAAACATATGTTGATAATGTTAATTTAGTTTCCAGGTTTCAGAGAAATGTAGATTTTATACCAATTTAAATATTATTACTGATACCAATATTAAATAATGCTTATATATATATATATATGTACTGTTACATTCGTGAATATATCATTTAGTTGCATATATGCATGCATTTGTACATAGGAATGTATTTTTATTTTTACTCTGTAACACAGAAAATGTTAATTTTAAAAGTTTAATCTCCAGACTTCCACCTTAAAGCATTTTTGCATTAATATTAATTCCTACTTGGATAGATGCACTTCTAATCTTGATCCTTGTTGCTAGGTTATGTTTTCAAACATACATTATCAAATCTGTTTGTACTAGTAACTCTGTGTCTCTTGAAGATTCCAGCAACAAAGCCAAAAACTTACAAAAATTTAAAAAAACCATCTAATCCTTTTATAGAGTAAATATCTAAGAACTTTAAAATTATACAACATCCCCATGTACTGTTTATTAAATCATATTTTAAAATATTTACCACTTATATGTATATACATGTCATTTGCATATGTAATTAGAATTAGTGATTAAAAATATACTGTATATTTTATATATTTTAATTCTAAGATCTAAAATGTCAATATAAATAGTACATGCATTAAGCAATTTGTCTTTTACTAAAACTGGATATACATAATTAATACAGATGAAGAATATGGTAAAGATTTCATTTTACTTTTAACTGTGATACCTACTCATGTATATAATACAGGGGCCATTTTATACAAATAATCACACATAGATGCACTTACACTCCGAACTGATAATGTATTTCATATATTTCTTTGTCAACATTTCCAAAAGCTAGATACATTATAATTTGAATTGTGAAATTAACTGGCTTATTATTACTAGCAGAAATACCACCCTATGGGTGGCTGTTTGTGCTAGTAGTTACTAATCATAGTGTTCATACCTCATTGAAAAACATTTAAAAAAAGTGAACACTTTCTAAAAAATTTATTTCTTTCTGGGAATTACTGCATGGGAAAGGTGTTCGGATTGTGCTCTTTATTCGTATGCAACTCATTGCATCAAAATGATTCAACTTACAGAGCTCAAAATGTTCATACATTTTACGGATATAAACTGTAATGTTTTATATATTAAAGGTGGTACCAGTTATGAAAAAATAAGTTTTTTTAAGAACTCCAGTTTATCAGTACTATATTTAAAAATTACATCAATAAAGATATAATCAAACCCTCATGTATGGTCCTAGTGAAAGTCGTGTTCTTGTTGTGAGGAGAGTACTTTTATTTAATATTGTGTTCTATTATAAAGCAATGTTGTTGCACATACCACAATTATTTTTTTAACTGCCTGAATCTTGAATACCCAAAGTGTGAACGTTTTTATAGATTTTTGTTTATGGTGCCACTCAATAGATGGCACAGGAGTTTTGATTACACACATAGATACTGACATGAACTGCATGAGCTTATGTAATATAACATTTCAAACTACTATAACATTAAAATTGTTTCTAATCATTGTTCTAGTATATCACTTATTCATTATGCTTCTGTAAGACTTTAAACAGGGGTGAAATTCTGCCAGAACTCACTAGTACTCAGTAACAGAACTCATTTTTTAAGGTGGTACTAGTACTGGAACTTATATGAGCTGCTTTGTAGTTTTTTATGTTTACACGTATATATATATATATTTTTCTTTTTCAAAAACAGGTTCATATCACCAAGCTGAGTATCTCTACTTTTCTTTTTAAGAATTTTACCACTGACTTTAAATGTCATTTACTCAACATGTATATACTTAAATTCTGTCATAAACACAAGAACACTAACTAAATACTAGAAAGACATACATGAATCACAACTACATGTACATGATATTACACTTGTTTATTTGATCTATTAATCAAGCACGTCAAAGCATAAAGATGCATTGCTCCATAAACAATTTTATTTAACTACCTGTAATATCACAATAAAAAAATTACACTTTCATATATACTAAAAAACTGTAACTAGCCAGTACAGATACGATTCAATTGACAAAAAGACTTACCGGGTTTAAGCTGCTACAAATGTCAATTGGATTTTTGTAATCAGATCTCAATTCATCAAATGCAATAACCTGTTTGAAAACAATGTTGCATACATTTACTCTTTTATTTCTATTGGATTCACAGAACATGATTAAGTAAATTATTAACTGAATGGCAAAATTTTTTTCTGATAAGACAGTTTAAATATATGGAGAACAAGTGACCATTTAGACTTTCAAAGCTATCCTTACACAACCACCCTTGAGGAGAGTAACAATTTAAATCCAATTTTTATTTTCAGGAAATCATTGATCCCCTCTTAAGTAGCAGATTCTGATGCTGCAGATATCATCTCATTTCATAAGTCAGGGATCCAAATTATTGATATAAAACTAAAAATTCTTGGTTTAGTATTGTTGTTTTGCTAGTAAAACTTGGAAGAAACTAGAAAAAAATGCTAGTATACATTTCAGAAGGAACATTTGCTGATTTTTAGTGTCAAGTATCAATACACCCATGATACACACATTTCAGTAATATATGTTATAGCTAGATTCTGAATACTTTAATTGTTATTAAAAAATGTTTTATTTGTCAGTGCCATGGTGATTTTATGATCCCCATTTGAGCTGCATAGCATACTCAGGCTAAGTATCAGGAAATAGGGAAAGTAAAACCACAGTTTCATATCATTTGCCAAGGGAGCTAGGATGTGGGCCAACTGGCTAGATTCAAATCATCCAGCCTCAGCAATGCAGTTTTGCCAGCAGTGTGGTTAGAAATTCTGTGCCTAAGGAGGTACTTATTGAAGGTACTAATAAAGTAGAAATCATATAAACTACATATTTATTTTTCCAAATTCCTTATAATTTATCTATGATTAACACAAATGTTATGCTTATTGGCTTATAATGCTTTACCAGCTTTCAGTCTTTTGAAGCATAACTTTTAATACTTTTTCATTTTTTAATTGAAATTATAGGGTGAACATTAGTTGCACGAGCCAAAGAAGTGGTCAGTCACTTCCCTGGGGCTGGTTTTTCCCATGACAGTTCATGGAAGGTATGGTCTGTATTGGGAAATTGAGTAATTTTAATACCACAAGAATAACTCTAGTATCCTTGCAGAACACCTCTTCTCAACAGTAGGCACTGATAGAGCCAAGGCAGAGTGGATGAGCACTTTCTATTACCCTTGGCCTGATGTGGATTTTGGGAAATAAGCATACTATCATATGCAACACCAGCCACCTGGTGAGATCCTATAGAAAAGAAAGGGGTGATAAAAAAGAAAATATACTTAACCTACTCAAAGATGACAAGTAGTTGTATTGACGAACAGGGACTAGAGAGAGTAAAAATCCAGCAAGAAATGAAACAGCCAGATGATGTAGATAATGGGAGATGAACAAGTGTGGATTCATCCACACGTCAGCCTGAAAGATCTCATTCAAGGGTCAGTAAAAATGAAACACCAGAGAGTGTAACAACTTATGAATTGATGCAATGAAATGTGAAAGAACAATAACCTTCCCTAGCAGCCAAGGTCTTAGGAAAAAAGGCTGAGTCTGGATAGAGAAGTAGAGAAGTCCAGAGAAAGAGAGTGTGCAGGAAGCATCGATTGGCATAAACCTCTGAATGGCAGCAACTACAGACAACAGGTAGTACAAAATATGTCTTCTGAGAATGATGGTATAATGAATATGAAACCAATGGCTTAAATGGAGCACGTGTAAAAGTACAGCCCTGCTTGGTTGAGGGATGCAATCTGCCACTAAGTTTAGAGCCCCAAAACATCACAAGACATGAGTTGAACCCAATGGGAATGGGCTGAAAATAGCAGGTCCAATGTGTGAAAGCAAAAGAGTCTGGAAGGGGTACCTCCCTGATGATTGATATGAGAAACAACCATGGAAATGTTTGAGTGGAACATGGCCAACTGATCCACAAGAAGAGAGAGGAAATGGGAACATACCCTACAGATGGCGAGAAGTTCGAGAACAGTGATTTGGAGTGTATGATCCTCAAAAGCCTAAATGACTGAAGCCATGTAGTCATTCAGAGACATGCCCAAGCTCAAAAGAGAAGCATTCATGAAAAGAAGGAGATCTAGTCAAGGGGTGGCAAGAGGATTCCCAACATGGTGTTGGCACAGTCACCCACCAATTTGAGTCCTTGAGGAGAGAAGAGGTACACACTCAAGGACAACTGATCCCAGAAAAGTTTCCACTGTTTCTGCAATTTCTACTACAGCAGGTGAATGAGTGGCTTGAGGGAAGACAAAGTTCCCAAAAGCAAAAGAAACTTCATGCACAGGGTGTAAAAGAAAAGCACAAATCTTGGTGAGAAGGCATTCTATTGCTCATAGATGAAGTGGTAAAGGCTAAGCCTGACTGAGATGGGAGTTGAAGAATACTCCTAGTGCCCAGATGTAGCAAAAATAAGGTTGGCATTAGAAAAGACCTGGAATGTTTGACAAGCCAGCCCAGCAGAGAAGTCTCACAAAAGGGGCAAGGAGACACCAATCATTCATGTAATAATGGAACCTCAGCCCCAATCCATGAACAAGACATGTATATCCCCCATGACTTGATTACAGACATAAGGAACAGATGCAATACCTGAAGGAAAAGCATGGAATTGGAAGACCCAATCCCAATGAAAGAAATTAAGAAAACATCTGGAAGACAGGGTGATTGAAATGTGTAAAAAGAGTGTATGAAACGTCAACTTTGGTCATCCATAGTCCAGGGGAAAAGAACCACTGAGAAGCAAAGAAACACTCCATATGGAACTAAGGGGTGATAAGAAACCAGTGGAGAGACAAGGTGGATAACTGAATGCCAGTCTTCAGTCTTTTTGGGAACTACAAAAAGACAAGAGTAATAACAAGGTGAAGGAATAAATACCCTCTCAATGGCATTCTTGACCAAAAGATCTGAGACCAAGTCCACTGAAAAATAAAGGGAAGGAGGTGGAGAGATAAGCTGTGGTTGAAAATCTGAAGAATCCATCTGTCAGGCAAAATTGGAGACCAAAGGCTGGTGAAGAGAGACAGATGCCCCCCCTCCCCATAGGATAAGAACTGATGAGATGAGTGATGACCCTGACATTGGAAAGTGGGAGGATGGAAAGTAAAAGAAGGCCAGGAAGCTGGAATGGGAAAGGAAACATGGATTCAGCAGGCCTTGGAACAGAATGGCAAGGAAACCAAGAGATCATATTAAACAATGATTACTGATGCCAAACCACCTTATTCTAGGTCTCTAATCTTAATAAGTCAGGAACACCCCTAAAGCCCTCAGGATGAAGAAATAGGGCCCAACAAAGATCATTGAGATAAGTATGAGGGAGATATGCATTACCTAGGAGGGCATCTCATCCCAACAGCAGAGGAATCAAGTATAGAGGGACAGAGCAATGTTGTGAAAAGAAGAGAATGAACATCTCCTCCAGACAACCCCTCCAGATGTAACATAGGAAGATAGTAAGAAAAAGGTGAAAGTATAAAAATTGGACATTGAAAGGAAAATAAAAGTGAAGGGGTCCACCACCCAAGCAGTTAAAAGAGAGTCCAAAGACTGGGAATCAAGGACCAAAAATGAAGAATGGCTGTAAGCCAAAACAAAAGAGTCAACTAGATGAGGTATGTTAGTACGGGCATGTAGGTGTTCACAAAAAAAGTCTGCATGGACCTTAATATCAGTTAAAGGAGGGAAGACAATGAGTATGGGTTTCATGTGGTAAAGCATGGGAGGAATCAAAGGAGAAAGAAAAGAACAAACCTGCAAAATCATGTCAAGGAAAAGATTAACTCTCTCAACATGGGCTCGGTCAATTTGACTGACCACATGACTTTTTTGTACACATTTAAAGTCTTTAGAGATTTAATACTTCTAACTTTTAATATACTGTGTATATCTTCACAAAAGTTGGAAGTCTTTCACATAAAAAAATCATACTTTTAGTCAAGTATTTTTAATAAAATAAAGATTTGTCCATGGATATATTGAGTATTTGTTTTGAATAGTCCTTGTGTGCAAAGTAATTTTCATGTTCAAATTAAAAATACTTTTCCTCACCTAAAAATCTCAAATGTCTTTTGAGTAATCCCTAAAACCTCCTAAATGCATTTCAAACGTTTTTTCAGTAAAACTTTATAATTTATCTGTTATTTTATCTACCCTATCTCAAAACAGGATCGGTCAATTTGACTGGCCTCGTAACCACCACGAAAAAATTTAAATAAACCTGAATTACCCTTTTTTCTTTCTAGAATGACTTCAAATTGTAACATGAAACTACTTTCATTTATCTAAGTAGCTATAAGTTTGTAATAGTATACATCTATTTATAATTAACTTTTATT